AAAAAAAAAAAAAAAAAAAAAACTTTTCTTCACTATTTTCACTAGGATGAACTATTGGCAACTTAAACATGATGTCTTTGTATTTCCAATACCATTTCCCAAAGAGTGTGGCAGTACAAAGACTGGTAACTCGTTATAGATAAATATAACATGTTTTTTAAGGACTTGGTACCTACTTGGTTTGTGATATCATAGACAATAATAGCGGCAGCAGCTCCACGGTAGTACATTGGAGCTAAGCTGTGGTACCTCTCCTGACCTGCTGTATCCCATATCTCAAATTTGACAGTTGCATCATTCACAGCAACTGTTTGGGAAAAAAATGCAGCTCCTATAGTTGATTCCTACATCAGATGAATCCAGTCAACACAATGGATCCCACGAGGAAATTCCGATTTGATGTACCAATCATTAACCAATTCACGACATGTGTTTACCAACCTGAAACTCAACGAATTGACCCTTCACAAATCGCAACACCAAACTAGACTTTCCAGCTCCAACATCTCCAAGGAGCACCTAAAAGAAAATTACGCTCATCAAACATAGCAATGGGGATGACAAGGCGAGTTATTAAAGGTAAACAGATACATAGATTTTTAAATTGTTGAACTCGAAACACAACACTGTGAGGTTCAAATTAGGTATAGTATGGCAAGCAAATATTTTCATGTAACGAGCCATCTCAACCCATAATCTTTTCTAGAATTACATTACGGCGCTGAATGTACAAATCCAAATCTGATGTTCATCAACAGGGCTAAGACCGATAATTCAAATTACTAGATACCGTGTCATATGCAGGACTAAAAGTTGTGTTAGTTTTGATTATTATTTGATCGGGGTGTTTTTCACAAGATGTTGCACCATTGTATCATTTTTTTTCACACCTTATTTGATTGGATCGCCTATATAAACAGGTGGTGTATTCGGAATAAAAAAGGATCATCTGTTCACATAACTTTCAGAAAGTTGCCCATGATCAAACATCGGCCAGAATGCACGAAGGACACACTCGAGTAATCTCCGTTTTCTGATTACACTCCATTAAATTAACAACCCAATCTAGCAACTAGTGTATAAACTACTATCAAGCAGATAATTCTAACGAGCTAATTACTACATAGACCATCCAATATCCACCATCATCAATCGCCCACGGTCAACTTTAAACTATTACCTAATTGATTCCAATCCACAATGTAATCTAGTTTATCAAACCCATTGTCAAATTCTAATAGATAAGGATACGATCTTCACGATTGAGGTCAGAAAATTCCAATTCACCAAGAAAAAAAAAAGCAGCCCAAACTACGCTGATTCAAAATCGAATGAAGAAAACAAAGTACACGGCAATTGAGACGCAAAATTAGGAATTGGGGAAAAGTACAAACCAGCTTGGAGTTGATGTTCTTGTTGCCGGCGGACGCCATCACCCAAATTCAAGCACAAATCGACGGATGAGCCTGCCGGAGTAAAATTGCCGTTCAGTAGATACAAATAAATTCCGATTAAAAATGAGAGAATTATTCAGCTGAAAGGGTTTGAGTTGACGCGAAGGAACAGAAAGTCTAGAAGACTAGAAGAGGTACAAGAGATGAATTGGTAATATTTATTTATTCCGTACTATTTACTTCCCTTATTTTATTATGGTAAAATAAAATGATGTTGGGGTACGATTATATAATTAAAATTTTCTAATTATATAACAATTTCAAATTGATAAAAAAATATTATAAAAGAAAGAATAACATTTCATATTTATCATTATTTTAATTTTTAATGAGTGGACTTCCATTTTTACAAGTCTCATTCTTGTGAACTTTGTTATATTTATATTTTTTTTGTTACAAGTTTTTTATTTTTTTATTTTTTCTATTATTAAGGACCCAATGTGTATGAAGCGATATTATGGTTCATGTAGCCATTTGGTCAACTATTGTGTAAATTATGGAATTTATGGTCAAAAGCAATAAATTTTAGAGCCTTCTATTATTGCCTAGACCGACAATATCCATTTAGCCCACTATTTTAATAGAGACAATTTATTAAATATATATATATATACTTTCAAATTAATAATGTCTAGTCTAAAAATAACACAACATTCTTATATTACATAAATATTATTTTTTATTATAAAATATAATGAATTTACTCGTCTGCTAATTAAACTGCTTAATAATTGAATTAAGAAGCACTTAAAAATGGAATTAATTACAAATTTAACACTCCACAAAGTCCATCACTTATCCATTATGGAGGAGCACTCGGGTCGATAACAAGAGACCCGAATTTCATTTGTTTCACTTCACACGGGATGGGTGAAAGTCAAAAGGCTGAAATACCCACTGCTTATTCTGCCATGGAAAATGATTAAAGACACAACGAAGAATAAAGTTACTTTATTCGTAATTTATTTTTTCACAAATATAATTGGATCCAATTCATTATATTATTATTATTAAACAAAAATATATATTTCTATTATTTACTTTTATATTTAGTTGACATTATTTTTCAAAGCATTATATTCTTTAATGAATATATATATATATATATTATACCATTATGTTGGTATAATATTACATTAATTTGTTGTGATTTTGAGTTGAAAAGGATCGCTACGGAAACAACCTCCTTGTATAATTACAAGAGTAAGATCTGCGTACAACTGATCCCCAGACCTCAACCCGTTTGAGAATATAATGGGTATATTTGTTGTTGTTGTTGTATATTATACCATTATGTTAATTTAGCATTAAAGATACAAATAACATTTTTATTTACTGAAGAGATTAAATATAACTAAAACAATTTAAGCAAGAGTGGGAGGACAGATGTCCCATTTTGATTGGTGGAGTGGAAAGGGAAAAAAAGCAATGGGTTGATGAAAAGAGTACAGTACACACACAAAAACAGGTACACACACAGAGCTCCTGGCTTCTCTTCTCATCTCAGGCATACAAACAAGGCTGACAGCAGGCCCAATAATAGCCCATAAATGCCCACTCTGCCATTTTGTTTTTGCAGGTTTATCACACTTCCCATCTTGACCACATTTCCTT